GGGTAAAATTCGATGGGTAGGATACACTTGTTGCTCACCTTCCTGGTAATCGACGTTGCGCATCAAATAACCGAAGGACATTGCGCATCAGTATAAAATTAAATGCGCACTCGGGCGACCACTGAAAAGATGGCGCGCATTGAACAGGCAATTGATTACAGCTGGATGTAGGCATCTTAAGTATCGAAGGACGTGGCTATGGTGAAATTTAGGTAACATTGTGGTTGGTGTTCAGACGATCTTACCATTTTTCCCCGCATGTACCACTTATTGGCACACTTCGTTCGCCTATTGTCAGTAAGACGAACTGCCATGTCTTGTCTGTCGTATTTTACCTTTTCATGTGTTCGCAACGGCACTCTTCATATGTGCATCTGACTACGAATCTGATCGCTTGAATAAAGCACCACTTTAAGGATTTCGAAATTTCGTGCCTACTCTTAGATCTGAGATAGAAATCCAGAGAGTAAATTTTCTGCTAAAATGCGCGGTGTGTTAGCCCCACCAGTGCATGTTATTGTTCTCTTGAATTTTTTTAGTCTAGTAACGTGAGGGACTTTGGTGAGGTGTGGGTGTAACACCAAAAACAAGAAGGGGCGTCGTTGAGTAGCATGATTTGACATGTTCCCTAAGATGATGTGGGCAGTTACTTTATGTACTGTGCGTTCAGCCGCTGGCGAAGATCGTATGTTTGCATGGTACTCCATTTTATAGTCGTACTATAAAAAATATGTTAGTGACTGTATTGCAGAAGTATGTTCGGATGGTATACTAGGCAGGCCACCACCGGATTATTCGCTCACCAGTCCGTGCCTACCACCCAACAGTCCCATCGAACAGGACTGGCCGCCAGAACCGCCACCACCCTTCGACGGTTACCCTCCCTATCCCGCCGGTTTGTGCATTTTTATAATTCTGTCCTTTGAATGTAATCCTCAGTAATGGCCCGGTGTGTACTATAACAATTTTCCGAGGCTTAACTGCCAAAAAAGATCAGCAGGGGTTATTTTTGACGGAGTTGCTTTTATTAAGTTCAAAATCCAGATGTGATTTCGGATGTCAGGAATATCTAGAAAGTACTTTTATCACTGTCCGTAACTGATCCCTTTCCGCAACTGTGTTATTTTTGAAAGGGATGTTTTTCTGCATGGCGCATTTTTCATCGAAAACAAAGAAAATTCATTCAGCGTACAGCGATGAGACGCTGGCGCAAATCGATCTATAAGATGTTTTCATGCGTTTTTGTATGGTTTAAAAAATAAAAAACTCATCACGATTATGCACATTTCTGTTCGAGTGATTTAAGCTCGAAAGTATAAAAGCCTTACATTTGAAATTTTAAGAAAAGCTTTTGATCACAAGCGAAGTTGAACACTGATTCAGCTAATTCAGGCTAGGACTGAGTTTTTAATTTCATTGCAGAAAGAGCTCCAGATTAGATTTAAAATTTTACATTACATCCCGACGTCTCAGCGCACCTCTAATGCGCGCCATGTGCCAACGTCCCACTGCACCTCTAAATAGCAGTTATTTCCCGTACAAATTAGTAAGGCAAAATAAGTGTTTTTCCAAATGACTGATTTGACATGACTTTTAACTACCCATTTCCCTCCAGCAGTTCATAGCATAATACTCGGCTCAACGTCACCGAATACTTTCTTGTAATCAACGAACAGGCAGTTGTGGTTCTGGATGCAAATTTGACCCCTTACGCTGCATTTGTTTAGAAATTCAAGTTGGCACTTGTTCTCCAAGAAGCCACTCATGTCGGTCCTCTTGGACAGCAATAATCCTCGTAGACAGTCTGAACTTGTTAGAAAAAAGTCACATAGGGCAATAACTTTTCAGACATCTTTGCCTTTCTTGGCTGTTTTTGACTGCCTTAATTTGTTGTTTGTCTCGAAACTAAATATTGCATGAAATGTACAGCTAAAGCCCGAAATTCGCGTTATGATGCTGTTACTGCCGAGCACCCTCACATTTTTTTTATCCGGAAATCCGCATTTGTTGATAACAACAGGAAGAAACTGGCCCCGGATGAAGTTTAACTTGAAACTCTAGTATGTCGGAACGTAGTGTGAATAGAACTGTGTAGAATTTTTTGCAAATTTCTTTTTTCGATTGCGTGGTTCTGTGGTTTTCTCGATCGCTGCCAGTATGAAATGGTACAGCAACATTTTTCTCTAATATGGCATTAATTTCTCATGAAAATATGAATTTTATAGGTGTCAAGTAAAGTTGGCCAACTATTGTGCATTGCAGGTCCACCTTTGCTTAAAATTGCTTATCCGAAAGATATCCCTGGGCCAACATATGCATGTCCACAATGTAGCGGAAAGTTTCTGGCAAGTTTCCTTTTGTTTTTCTGTTTCCACAAGGCAAATCAAAAAGATCCATTTGTTTGGAAGTGTTAATGTAGCAATAGCTTAAGCAGAAGGTGCTCTTTCGATGCCAAGGTCGACCGAGGGAAAGGATAATTAGTGGTGCAGAACGACGGTCCCATATATATGCATATATATATGATGTTTGATGTGCATGCTGTAAGTAGACATACCAGTCAATACTTACAGAACGTACTTTCCATGATAATTGTTCAACTCATGCATACAGTAAACGCAGCAGAATTTGAATTCATAATTTGTTTAAGTTCAGTAGTTTAACAAGAAATTCTTTTGCATCTAGTCATAAATCAGAGCGGGGTGGAATCAGAGCGTTGATTTCATTTTATTTACTTTACTTCGTTCCGTGAGTGAGAAGCCAATCAAATTTCATTTCATACCAATAATTACTGAACATCTTCAGGTCAAAAAGTGCGCTTCAGGTCAAAAAGTCAAACTACAGCGCATCTTAAAAACTCAAAATTATTCTGTCAATTAGCCTCCCTTACCTTTCTGCTGAAAAAAAATCAAGCTCACAACATTTTTTCTCCTCAGTTTACAACGTTGACCAAAACCTAAGTCTAAGTTCATAGGAAAACCAGAAGCTGTTTTCAGATTTTTAGTCCTTTATATAGTTAAAGACTTCTTTCATTCAGGTCCTACTGCTTCTTGACCTGTGACCACATTTAAACACACCGTAACGAACGAAGCTGTCTAAAATGTTGGTGTTGTCACGTGCTGGATGGAGTGAAGAATCACTATGACAAATTTCCATATTCACTGCCTCATTTACCTACTGGGCAATCACAGTAATTATTGCAGAAACGTAGGACTTCTTCCCTACTTTCCTTCCCTCTCCAGTGGCGACGAGCATTGCTATTTTTATCTTCGAGTCAGCTGTTACTAACCTCTCCGTCTTTCTTTGGGGTATGGAAAAGCGGAAACATACACTGATGTTATTTTACATTTTAAGGCATTTTAAGTTTAAAACTAAGTTGCTAGCGATATTTCATTTTCAGTACCACAGGCCTGCTGGTGTTGTGCAATGTCCATTTTGTCATACAGCAATCTCAATTGGTCATTATGTTAGTCATTCATAATTTCAAATGGCAGAAATGGGTATGACGAGTGATTTTTTTTTTTGCCCTGGAAGTTGCATTTTGTTTGAAACGCATTCAAGAAACTGAAGAATTTTGCAAGTGAGACCTAGCATATAGCCCTTGATACTGGCATGTAAAAACTTTAAAAAGCGAGACTTTTGGGGTGCCAGATTTATTTCATTAATGACAAATAGCGAGTTTAAAAAAAAAAAAAAAAAACTGTCCGGCACGAGGCTGAGATTTCCAAATAGGTCCACTGAATTTTAGATTTGTCCTTTAGCGGAATGACAAAAACTGTTCCATAAAAACCTCGAAAGAATTCCTCGTGTACTTCTAATGATGCAGAATTTTACAGTATGCGTAATGTTTGCTCATACATAACTACTGCTTTTGTAGGTACGAACACGGGCATACTCTCTGGCTACGTTTGGTTTGTTATTTTTGCTAAGCAGTCTCACATTTGCCTTAGCAAATATGATCTTTTTGGATTGCTCCAGACCTTACTTCTTTGCTGGTTCGTTTGTCTTTTGTTGTCATCAAGTATATGCATAAGATTTAGCCGGAGGATCTTATAATACAGAAGGATGGGGACTACTACAAAAGCTGGACGCCTTTCTGTTGATGAGGCATATGTAGAGCACCGACATCTCGAGAGTCAAAACTTTTTTCATAAATTTTAGTCGGCCATTCATTAGCTGAAGAGCTACTGGCGTCGCAAAGTGCGCAGAAGCGCTCAGCGCAATTTGGTCACGTCTTTCTGCGCTTGGTCCGACCTGTTCACTGCATACGCGCGCATTTGTTAAACCAACCATCCTTGTCTACTAGTCGTACTCCATCTTATCAAAAAAAAGTTAGGAAGTGACTTTGACCTGTTTAAGGCGAACTGTTCGAACATAGTAAGGAAAGATTGTAATGTGCTAGTTGTAAAGTGTACAGATAAGTCACAGTACAGGGTCTGATCCATTCTACACCAATTTTTTGCTGAAGCGCAAGAACTGGACCAACGTTGATTTTACACGTGGTCATTTTTCAGGCTTCTAATTCTGGAAAATGTGTACGGCGCAAATGCAGAAATACGCTGTTAGTGTATCTGCGTCGTGACGCATTTGCGCACTGCCCAATTAGCGCCGTGATGCTTGTGCCGGCGCCTTTTTGTATTTCGCCTTGGTACATCAAACGTTAACGAACCTCAGTTTTGTTGAGGCATCAGAACAAACTTACGTAGGGGCGATTGCTTCTCTTTTGATCATCTAGAGCACAGGGGCACTTTCGGAGGCTTTTAACATTCTCTTGATCTTCCAAAAGACACTTGCTTGGAAGGAGAAAAGAGAAAGGAGTTAAAAGATGGGGATCCGGCCGAAGAAGATGTGATTAAAATTTGAATGAGGGGGCGCAGAAAGCGACTGTGAGTTGCTCGAAGATAGGTCCAAAAACAGAAAGTTAATTTAGAGGAATTTACTAAGCGTTAGAATGCAATAAGTGGCAAGAACGAAAAGGGGCATTCGCTAACACAATATTACTTTTGGACATAAATCACAGTACTTTATGTGGGAGGCATACAGGAGCGTCGAAAGGTAGGAAAATGAGTGCAGAAGGTAGGAATGAGAAAGGAAACAGTGCGGAGGCAAGACATTTTGGCCCACTAACTTATGAGCTGAAGACATTGACCTGACTGAGACTTACTAGAAGATCTCCAAGTCACAACAGTTACTTGAAGTCCCAAAGACAAGCAATGTAAGTTGGAAAATAGTTTTACAGTTGGTATGATGGCGACATTTGCACTGGTGCTAGTATTCGTTGGCGTTCGTATGTGTACGCGCTATCGTGAGACGGAGCGCATCGAATTCAGCTGATAATGAACAGTGGCTTAGAGTGTGTTGTAAGTGTGGGAACTATTGCTCTTTTGCTGGACGATTCGGCCCTTATCTAAAGCAGCATTGACCGAATCAACAAACTATTTTGTAATTTCTTTATGCGCTCTCTCTCCTGTATATTTATTAACACAGTGATTCATTTTATATTATTTTCTACCGTATTTTTTGTTGGCGTTTTATCGATTTGCGACCATCTAGTAGTATACAAGTTTCATTTCGAAAGCTAGTTGGTTGAGACTAGATGTAAGGCTTGTAGGTATTCCATTCAGTTCGTTCTGATGGTTCAGTTCCACTCCTTTTGGGCGAAAACTGAACCGTCGAGAAAAAGTAAGTATAATCTGTCGGAATATATGGTAAAACGCCAATTTCACGACAACTGCTAGCATGCAAAGCAAGTTACACGAACCGTTGTGATTTGGTTGCTGGAGTAGCACAGCTGAAGCGCCGCACGGTTGCTAACGAGAACAGAGGAGAGATGGGTGTACCCTTAGTCATCTTCCACTAGCTATGGAACAGTCGTTTCAACTGATGTTCCGCGAAAAGGTGCATATGTTCAGGTTGTAAAATGGAACTGCTAGCTTCAAATCGCAACAATGACTGAAAAATTACTCACTTATTTACCACATCCTTACATTCCCAAACATTGTTTTGATGCGCACATTATTAATCTTGATATACGGAAATATTAGCCGCATACAGAGTATGATAGTTATACAGATTTAGTATAATAATCACCCTGAGACAGAGCTGCAATACTGTGCCTTCGCGATTTGCTAAAGACACTTGATATCCACTTATATAATGCAGTAATTTCATTCTGCAGTGACACGAGTTGTATTGCTCAATTTATTTCCCTATGAACTGTATAAATGTAATTTTTATGCGTTTTTGCTTATATGCAAATGCAAAAACGCATGTTGTGACGACCCCGGTATTTGTGTTTATGTACGTATATGTGCGAGTGTGTATGCGTGCGTGTGTGTGTGTGCGTCTGTCCGGGTATTTCGACTCGGCACTCAAGCAAGCTCCGGCGCCAAAATTTTGCCAGCAGGTTCTCCGACCAAGTGCCACTCCAGGATCGCGGTACCGATCCTCGTGCACATCCAGGCCCCGCGTATGACAGGGTGAAAGTTTTAGCGAGAAAATCACTAACTCAGGAACTAGAAAAGGAATCATTGACTCAGGAACTTGAAATTTTGAGGTTATGTTCCCTGTTCAAATTGAACTCAAAGATTTTGAATTAAACCCCCAGATGTGCATACCCATGCATGACCCCGTAAGAGTTCCCGGTGTGAAAATCGCTAACTTGAGAACCAGGAAAAGTGGGAGGCTGAAATTTTCAGAGAGTATTCTTAGCCCATGTACAACTTAAAATCGTTAAATCCAGCCCCGGACGTACGTGGTTATCACGTACGGCTCCGTGAAATTTTTTGGTGGGAAAATGGCTAAATCAGAAGCCAGGAAAAGGAGGCTGAAATTTTCAGAAGATGTTCCCAGCACGTGTACAACCTAAAATCACCGAATTCAGCTCCCAGGCATACGCAGTTTTCACGTACGGCCCCCTAAAATTTTTTGGCGAAAAAATGGCTAATTCGGGAGTCAGGGAAGCCAGGAGGCTGAAGTTTTTAGGGAATGTTCCCAGCAATGTACAACCTGAAGTCATCGAATTCAGCCCCAAGACGTACATGGTTGTCACGTAAGTCCCCGTAAAATTTTTTGGCGGAAAAATGGCTAACGCAGGAAATGAGAAAAGCTGGAAGCTGAAATTTTAAGGGTATGTTCCTCGTTCCCGTAAAAGTTAGAGATATCAAATTCAGGTCCCAGATACGTGTAGTTATCATGTACGAGCTCGTAAAATTTTTTGGCAGGAAAATTGCTAACTCAAGTACCGGAGAAGTTGGAAAGCTGAAATTTTAGCGGGATGTTCCCTGACCAAGTATCACGTAGGCAATTAACTTCCCGAACTTCGAGAACCAGTATGTGGCAAATTCTAGCTTATGTAAAGATGGGACACTCTTGTGTTCCTAGTGGTCGTTTGTGGCGCGCTGGCTAGCAAAACGGC